TTAAATCAGATTTACACATTATTTCAATATTTTCTTTGACATTTCTGAAATGTCAAAAATCAAACGTCATTTGTATGGCCTACCACGTTTGGACATTAACTTTGTTAGAATTTTATTTTACTCAAATATTTGACTGAAAATAATGTGATTGTGAATAAAATAGCATACAAACCTCGGTGGTAATGGCATTACCCCTTGTGCTTATCCAATCTCGAGGCTGGCGCCTCTCGATCGTATACATAAGCACTCGGGGTAATGCCATATTTACCACCTCGCTTGTAATGTACTATTGTTATTGTTTATCCGATTAGAAATACACTCCTTTGCTATGGTGTAAAGGGAAGTCTTGTAAAAGCTATACATTTCCGGTAGCAATGGGGCCTTGATCATTCCCTATTTTTGATATCAAAAATTCTATCATTCCTTCATAAAAAAGGTACTCTTGTTTCATATCGCCAAAATGTATCGCTCTTGAGATATTTGGGTTTACGAGTAAACTAAACTCTACACCGCTGCAAATTTTTTCAAAGATCAAATTTACCATAGACGGAAAATGTTATAAAACGTATTCAATACTGTAAAAAATTACAACTAAAAGTTTGTTTATTATTATAATTTCAAACATTTTTAAAATATAAATTGATGTTTAACGCTTAAATCATGTAAAAATGGAATTTAACAACTCATTTAGCATTTTTATTAACTATATAAGCAATTAAGAAACAATTGTATGCATTGTCTCAGTGATGTCTTTCTTTTGTCATTTAATTGGCGTTGAAAATTAGAAAATAAAMCTTGTTTTATCAAAAAGAATGCAATTAATATAATAAATAACAAAAAGACTTTATATTTTAGGTGCAAGTGTAACTAGGTTCAATTGCTTCGATTCCATTGATTGAACCACTATGAAATTTTTGCTTTATTGTTATTTAGTGTTAAATCTCTATGAAGTTTATTCAGAAAAAATACGATATGGTAAGAATTTATCTATAAATACGTTTTATTATTATCCAAAACAAAACATTCTACAAATTTTATTTTTCATTGCAAAAATCCTTTTTTCGTCACTAGTTTTAACATTTAATACCTTTGTATTTAAAAAAAAAAAGAAAATATAAATTCGGTGTTTTTTTTCAGTAATTATTTCTAAAAACATGATTTGTACTTCATGGACGTTAGGTGGTGACATGCAATGGACAAACCACCCTTCCACATCAAAAGAAAAGATACTTTTTCAGTTACCACCGAGTTATCTTCAAGATAATTCTTGGGACGCACATGTCCCAGTATATTTTTATCCACATCGATCGTCTTTATTGCCATTTGAGGGTATGGTAGATTGCAGAATAAAAATTTGTTTAACTTAGTGCCAAAGTACATAATTTTAAGTATACAAAAATTTGAAACAAAAACAAATAATATAAAAACAGAAACATTGCTAATACTTAAATAACAATTATTTTAATTAAAATTTTCAGATGAGTCGTTACTTCTTCATAGTGCAGAAACACTGAAACATGTTCCACCATTTTACGGCAAAATAATTCCCAATTTAAAGCAAATAGTGCATTGGACAGATGACGTTATACCAAAAATTAAACCTGTGTTAAAAGATGTATCAGAAAATGCCAGAAAGTCAAAGAAGCGCACACTTTTCTACAAACCTATTTTTAAAGTTAGATGGCACTTAGATAAATCAGTTAACGAAGACAAACCAGAAATAGTGCCCGAGACTGTATTAACAAAATGTTCCAAAAAACCCAATTACCATTGTATCGAGAAACGAATTGGCCCAGAAGGAAAACCAGGAAATGCAGTTATTTTAAACTCTGAAAAATTTCAAATACCTAAGCCAAACATTAAGTGGATAGCAAAAGTAAATAGAAGRGAATCAAAGATCGAGTTATATAATGGTTCAGAACTTATTTTAAGTATCAAATGGTACCTTGACAATATTTCAGGACCAAAAATAGCCTGGATTTTAGACAAAAATCAGTTAATAAAAGCGCAAATTCGTTGCTTTGAAACTCGCGAAAATGGAAAATACAAAATTACGTGTATGATAGACCGAAACGAACCGCCTGTAGATTTAAGTGAGTTTAACTTTGGTAAAAATGTGACTTTGGAACCAACATATAAACTAAAATGGTTCATAAATTCTGATTCATCACAGCTCAAATGGCTTATGTATAAATCATTAAACAAGGGGTATGATAAAAACAAATTTCCTTTCAACAACCATTTCGAAGACAATGACCACATAACACACTGGAGTTATAATACTTTAGAAGTTAATCAGCCWTCCAACGAGGTTTCCGTTTTGCATAAGAAACCTATTTTTAGACCTTATTCCGAGAAACATGAAACTTATCAAAAAATTGAGACCAACGACAATGCAACAAATTTGGACACTTCTCATGATAATAATTGGAACGTCCACTGGTCTACTAATAAATACAGTAATCAAGCAGATGGAAACCCGAATCATGATWCAAAAAATAAATTGTCAGTTGACAATCCAAAAAATAATCAGCCATCAGGTAATGCTAAAATTAGAAAATAAAACAGAATTAATAACACTATGTTGCAGATACTTCTGWTGGTTTATCCATAGGAGGGTCTCTGAAATTAAAAAATCCACTTACTGGACTTTTACCAAATCATAAAGACTCCTCCGGGAGTAGTTCTGTTGGTTTATCAATAGGAGGGGCTTTAAAATATAAAAAACCAAAGGTTGAATCAACACAATCTTTAGGCACGGCTTTGGAAGGAGGTTTAAAGGATAACTCAGACAGCGGGTACCCAAAAAGTYCATTACTACTAGAGTTGTTAAGAAGAAAAAAACTTGGATTGAATCCTTTACCTTGGTTGTAAGAATGTGAGATTAATGGTAATTTTAAAGATAAAAAACTGTACGTTCTTCAATTATGTGTGAAATATATGATGTCTTAAGTGTAATGTAGTCTTGTTTTATTTTATTTTTTATTGAACATTTAGTAAATAAGTCGAYACTAATACAAGTCAGAAAAACCGTGCAAGAATTTTATAAAACAATTGTGTAGTCCTATAGTTGTTTTTTGAGATAAARTTATGTATCACGAAAAAATATTTTCACTTATAATACCTCGAGTGTGTTGATTATTTCCAGAAATTTTTTCGAATGATTGTCAAAAAGGTGCAAATTGCATGACATCACGAGTTCAATTATAAGTCTTAAGTTTTTGATGTTTAAAATAAAGTTTTATTAAATTTTGGGTTAGTTTTCGTCGTCAAAAAATTTTCAGAAATTTCTTTTGTAGCATGATAGTCATATTAAATACCAAATTCAGATTGGTTCTTCCATAGTGTCATGCAATTTTCACGAAAATCGTACGACACTCATTAATGACCAATAGAAAAATTAGTTGACAAGCCATAACTACGATAACAACAAAATTTCTTGGAATTTTTTTTTTTGGTAGATCAACTTAACTGATTACAATTTAGTTGCCAGTGTGGAGTGTGGCCATAGAAAAGTCACAAATTAATAAGGTTAGTTAATTAACTAAGCCTAATATGTAAAAAATTCCCAAGCTATAGAAACAAGAATGTAATATTTTGTTATACATACAGGCTGCGCCAGAACTCGCGCCCCAGAGAAAAATGCGATGTAAGGTGAGATGCCAAGAACATGGAAAAAATGTTAAAAAAATTCCCTGTATGTATTACCAAATAATTTTTTTTAATGCTAATGGAATCGAGATATTTATAAGTTTAATGAAGTAGAAGAAATTTAAGTTAGATAAGATACCAGGAACATGGAAAATTTTATCTGTCAAAATTTTTTGACATTTGACATTTTTTATGTCTATTTAATGATACTGATGATCTTGTATACAGGCTGCGCCAGAACTCGCGCCCCAGAGAAAATTTTCAAGTAATATAAGAACATGAAAAAAAGTTTTAAAAATTGTATCTGTCAAAAAAATTTGACATTTATTTTTTGACATTTGACATTTTTTTATATCTATTTAATGATACTGATGATCTTGTATATGTTTTTTTACAATTGTTTAGTAAAGGGACACAAATTTTGCCAATAAAAGCCACAAATAACATTGAACAGAGTTAGAATTTAGGATATAGCTTCCTTGTTTCCTCTTTTAATAGCCTATAGCAAAAAAACTTGGAAAATTATTTTTCTAACAGAAATAAGTAGAGTCAAAGTCCAAAATTTAAACTCTCATAACTTCGAAATTTTTATAGATAGAATTTTTGTAACATTTTTTCCATGTTCCTGGTATCACACCTTATTTTTCTCTGAGGCGCGAGTTCTGGCGCACCCTGTATACAGCGGCAAATTGGTAAAGTTCATTAAAATATATCGGAAATTGATAAATAGATAYTAATTTAGTGCCTCGCCCAAAAATGATGAAAAATGCGTTACAATACAAACTTATGTGTTTTTAAATGAAATATATGTTTTTTGGCATATTTGGATATTAATTTTTATTACAATGTTTTTACACTTTTATTGGTCTATTTTGCTTAGTTTTTGAAATAAGATGTTTTTTTGATGAAAACGTACTATCTGCTAGGTTAAAAGTATTTCTGTTATGGCGTTCCCAATGTAAAAGAATTGCGGCCGTAATTAAGTTACTTGGGGAGATCTCAGCGTCGTTTCAAAACTCAATGTATCTTAGAAATGATATCTGTAAAATGGCCGAAACATAATTTTTAAAAATCTAGTACTTATCAAATTATGGCTACTTAAATAAACACCTTTTTGCACTAAAACAGTTATAAAGACTCCAACATTTCAAAATGAAAAAACTCTTTGGCCAATCGGTAGAGATTTTTATTTGAAACAGCTTGGTATTTTTATTTTTTTCTGTTATAAAAAATAAGCTTGATAACAAGAAAACAACCTTGTAACTAGAAAAGGGATTAGTCACTTAATAATAATTTAGAAGTTTCAAGTAATTATTATTGGTATTRCAATAGGTAACTTGTTTGTTTAATATTTTCTTTATCCAGGGCTGGTACTTAGAAAGCAACTTATTTGTAAACACACACCTGGCTAATTTTTTATTACCCAGAAATGATAACTTAGATTTCATTGTGTTTTTAAGTTCTCTTTTGGAAAAGTCACTTCTAAAAGCACTTTGATCATAAAACACAAATTCATGTGCTTWGTTTATTAACTTTATTTCAAAACAGTAAACTCGTATTGCTGAAATATTTCCTAATTAACAGTTAGTATGTCCCCGGATTCAGTTTACAATAGAAAGAAAAATAATTTTTAATTTTAGGCCAAAACTGCAAAGGAAAAACATTTTTTGCTTCACCTGAAACGAGCAAATCTGGCAACTATATGACACAAACAATTAATTCATTAATTGAATAATGATAGTTTTTGTTAAAAATGACTTTGTTTTTTATATTAAACCTGTTTTTTTGAGTTCTTATGATTTTTAGAAATATTGTTGTTATTTAACTTGCGTAAACTCAATTGCTAAAAAAATAAAGCCGCCAATGTGATGTAAATTAAAACGCTGGAAAAAATTAGTACGTCCAAAATCAAAAGAAAAATGAATTTTTCTTTTCACTAAAATATTATATCCGGGRACATACTGTATAACGGTTTAGAGCTGTTGTCTTTTACATAAATTTTAACGAATAAATTGATAATAATTATGGCATTTAAAAAAAATACGCACGATCTTATTTTGTCAAAAAATGACACCTAYTTTGTTATTCTTRATAAAAACCTAATTTACACTTTATAAATTATTAAAATAGGAAATAATATGATATGCCAAAAGTGGTTGTTTTAGTGTTATATCTGTGGTGTTTTTATAATGTTTGAAAGTATAGTTATTGTTATTTAATAGTAATTGTTTTTAATTCGACTACACAGGATGTTCCAATGAAAACGAGCCACCCCGAATATCTCAGAAACTAAAAAGACTTTGCAAAAACGCCGAAACAGGTCGATTTTGTTTTTGAGGAGCACATTTTTTT